CTTAACAAACCCGTACAACTTGAGAATTCGAGTCACACGAACCTCAACGAACCTTCGAAGGAAACAGCCCTTCCTTCGAACAACAAGAGAAATACCTTCTCTTGTCAAGTGTCTAAGAACACTAAAAACACTCAAGAACAATACTCTCTTTTAGAGTGGATAATGAGTAAACTAAGAACGCTCAAGAACACAACACAAGCTTCACAAAAAAATGGCTCTCAAAAAGCTATGAATAGTTGAGGAATAATTTGCAATGAAAGAGTAGGAGTTGTGAAGTAATGTGATGTGTAAAACAGACCCAAACACCCCATTTTATAGTAGAAAAATAGGCTCCAACGGACCAAAGTATTTAAGGGGTGATTGGCACAATTTGTGGGATTTGATAAAATTTGGATCTGCTGAAATTCACCCAGACAGCGCTGTCCTAGGCCTGAACATCGCTGTTCTAGGCTTGTGTTTTGAAAAATGGGAAGCAATGGTCATGCCAACAGCGATGTCTAAAATCCCTACATCGCTGTTTTGGCTGTTGACTTCCATACAAGGAAAGTTTTAGCCTTAAATTCCTTCCAACGGTCAGGTCTCTACATCGATGTTCCATACTAGAACATCGCTGTTTAGGTCTGCCTTTGAAGATGGAAGTTTGGCCTGACAGCGCTATTGCTGGGTCAACATCGCTGTCCAAAAACTTTCTGCCAATGCACTATATTTTTTGGCTTAGGTTGGACAGCACTGTAGGGAAGCCTACATCGCTGTTCCAGAAGTTTCTGGAAATCCAACCTTGGCTCAACAGCGATGTCTAGTGTCCAACATCGCTGTTGGAAGACTTAACGCCAAACCATGTTTTTAGCTACCCAGGCCAGACAGCGCTGTTGATTACCTCAACATCGCTGTTGGGCTGGTTTAGCCAGACCCATGGTTGGTTTAGTCACGCCGTTAGCCGATGTCAAAAACGCAAGTTCTCCAAAAATAAAAACCAAATTTAGAAAACATTTGTTTATTGCATTTTGCTAAGAAATCAAGTAAAACATCTTAAAAACCACGTCATTTAGTTGAAAACCACGGCTAGCCAAGTTCGCGCCGTTTCGCATGGTTTTCACTAAACGACCAAAAACGGAAGGTGGTTTTTTAGGCGTTTTTGTTGGAGAACTATTTAAATACGCCCAGAAGTAAAAACCAGTCATAAAAGGTTGAAAACCACTTGGTTGATTCGGACGCCAAAAACCAATGCCGAAAAATCGAGAGCCGAACGCCGGTTTCTGAAGACCGAACGCCGGATGACTTGGTTTTTGGTTTGGGCGAACTCCAAGTGTTTTTAGCCAAGTTTAAACTTAAGAAAAATGTTTTTGAATATGTAAAAGAGATTTTTATGAATTGAGCCTAGAGAGCCAAGATTTGGAACTTTGTGCCGGTCTTGATCACATTAAGATCGACTCAATGCAATTCTAATTCTTCGTTCTTGATTCTGGGTTCTTGGTTCTCAAATTATCATGCCATGTTCCTTCGCCTTAGTTTTGCTCACTTTAGCTTTGATATGTCGCGGCGGTTTGGCATTATCAAAACCTGTCATAAAAACGAACACAGTTTAGTACGACGTAGGCGTAAACCCGTGTTCCAACATAATACTTTTGGTCATTTTTAAGGGAGGTTGACTAAGCCTGTGAAATGACCAAAATACCCTTAATGAAGGAAAAAGAAGGGAAAGAAAAAGAATGGTGCGTGTGGCTAGGAATAGGAAAAAAAGAAAAGACTATTGGTAGTGGGGAGAAAACACTATTTAAAGATTGTTTTACATCCAATCAAACATTACATAACAATGATTAAAAATGACCAAGTACATTAACATTACAAACAAATTTGGAGGTCCCTCTAGTTTTTTTCCCTTCTCGCCCAAAAAACCCCAACAAGTCTAACTCCCTCCACTGGTTATATAAAACCATTGACTTTCCTCTTTTGGCTCCTTCATTCTTCTCTCATCTTCTTCTTCTTCTCCTCCTGGGTGTGACAACCTCTTTTCTTCTTTTTCTCTTTTTCAGTTTTTGGATCCCTGCAAAATTGATTCAAAATCCATAGATGAATTCCAAAAAACTTGACAAAACTACAAGGCAGCTTATTAGTGAAGGTTTACTACGAAATTCAAAACAGAATAGTGATGGTTCCTATTCAGCTCAGAGGGGGTAGATCAACACGCTTGCTGCATAGTTTAATGTCTCGAGACAGATGATTAGCAAGATATGGGTCATCGTAAAAAACAATTAGAGCAGGGGGTTGCCATTGATGTGAGAAGCAAAATGGGAGGTCATTGTGGGAGGAAAAGGGCAGAAATGGATGTAAATGTAATTGCAGATACCCCCCTCAGGAAGCGGGGTACTATCAGAACATTAGCAGCAGCAATTGGCAAGCCATAGTCCACTGTCCATCAGTGGATAAAAAGAGGTATGCTTAGGAGTCACACAAATGCTATCAAACCATACCTTACTGCTGCTAATAAACAAGCTAGGTTGAAATTCTGTTTAGACCAAATAGAACCTTTGAGTATGCCTCACCAACCTATATTCAAGTCTTTTCATAATATATTGCACATTGATGAGAAGTGGTTCTTTATGACCAAAACATCTTAGAGGTTTTACCTTCTTCCTGAAGAAGTTGACCCCTATAGGACTGATAAGTACATTTTGTACTTATTATTTTACTTATATTTAAACATTTTTTGTGTGTAAATAAATTTAATTAAAGTAAAAATATTTATTTTCTTTCGTAAATATCTTGAAGTTGTCATTTTGTTTATAGAAAAGGGTGTTCAAAACAAATTTGGAATTTTCAAACAGAAACTGGTTCAAACGGAGTAAAAACTTGAAAGAAAATTAAACATTTGAGATGTTTAAAGTCAATTTCGTCCATAACTTCTGAAGAGAGAAATGTTCAGCACAATATATGGAGCTTGCCATAGAAATTCGAAGCCCAAATCCCTAGGTTGGGCCGGGCGACCTGCTGGGCGACCGCCCCGGACCCAGCCCCGGGATCCAAATGACAGATATAAGCAAGTGGCGGATATTTTGCAGGGATAATTTCAATCGTCTGCGGGGCGACCGCCCCGGATCCAGCCCCGGAATTCAAACGCGTGATATTGGCAACTGGCATCAAGTAGCGAAGGAATATTCGGATATTCCCTCTAGGGCGACCTGCCGGGCGGCCGCCCCACTGCCTTCCCCGGAGATTTCTATGCCTATATAAGGCAGCGTCGTCCAGTCCTCTTCCATCATCAATCACAAACAGTTCTCTCGTTTTCTCTCTCTCTCAAGTGGCGATTGAAGCCCTCATTAGTATAGTTTTAGTTATTTTAGAAGTTTCAGTTCTAGTTCTGTTCCAATTCCGCTTTTCTGGAAGTTGTAAGTTTCTTTAATTAATATTATAACCATGTTTTGTTATTCAATTTGTGCACTTTTTATTATTACTATGTCTTTTTAAACATATTAGGAATGTGAATTGAAATTAGGGTAGTATGAATGTAAGAAAAATAATTATGTTGGAATATTAAATTTAGTTAATTAAAATGTTAAGTTGCTAGTAATATTTGTATGTTCTAATTAATTAATCTGGCCAATTTATTAGTTAATGTTTGAAAAAATTATTACGTCCATTTGTCAATGAATGAGAAAAATAATTTAGTCAATCAATTCTAGCACATTAATAATGCCTAGAGATAGGATAAAATTAATGGAGTTATTGTGACAGAATTACTCACTAGCTAAATTAATTAGTTAATTTAATAATCCAACTAGTTAAAATATCTGAAAAATTCCTACTACCGGAAATCAATTCATATTCCCTTTTTATCAAACAATTGTTTTATTACTCTGTCCAACTCAGTTTCAAATCCAACCCACAAACACTTTTCGAATTTAGAAGGCTTCCAAAACCAATGAGTAAAACTTTGCCTAACTAGATTTTAATAGAAAATTTATTTTAACACCAATCCACGTGAATACGACACGGGAATAAATCGATCTCTTTTAGAATGAAATTTACTACCGCTAAAACTCTTTCGTCAAATGGCGCCGTTGCCGGGGATTGGTGCTTAATTTAATTTTTCTGTTATAAATTTTTATAGTTAGCCTAGTAGAAAATTGGTTAGGTCGATTTTCTAGCATCTTTACATACTTTGGCAAAATTACATGCAAACCCGCTCAACTAGTGGGGGTAGTTTTGCTCCGTTCACTGAAAATCCTGAGAAAATTCTCCGACAAAATACTTTGAAAAATTCACCCGGTGGGGATTTTGAGGAGGAAGAAGAAGAAGAGATAGAGGTTGATCAGCCCATAATGGAGGAAAATAACGGACGTAGGCGGACTGTGCTCCAAGCCATGAGCCCCGCCTATGTCGAAGAAGACCCCATCGGACTCCTGAATACTGACGCCCACACATTCGAGATCAAACCTGCCATGATCCAAATGGTCTCGAATAATCAGTTCGGGGGTATGAAGGGGGAAGATCCAAGGGCCCACATGCTATGGTTCTCCCGAACTTGTCAGACGCTGAAGATGAACGGAGTGACCTCCGATCGTATCAAACTATCGCTCTTTCCTTTCTCACTTCGAGATAGGGCGGCGCGATGGTTGAATACATTCTCAAAGGGTCATTTCAAAACCTGGGAGGCACTGCACCAAGCTTTCATGGACGAATACTTCCCACCATCCGCCATCGCCAAAATCAAACGATCGATCCAGAATTTCTCTCAAGATTCGATCGAATCCCTAAGCGAGGCATGGGAAAGATTCAAGGATCTAAAGATCAAATGTCCACCTGCCCTAATTGAAACTGATAGCCTGATGTTCCATTTTTATCAAGGACTTCTGGTGCCATCAAAGAAAGAACTCGACCACTCTTCTAAGGTCGGATCTTTCTTAGATATGACACCGGAAGAAAATGAGGATCTGGTGGAGAGACTAACTTCAAATGCCAAATACTGGTACGAAGACCGAGCTCCACAACAGAAGGCTTGCATGTACGAAGTGGATTCCTTGACGGCACTTAAAGCAAGCATGGAAAGTTTGATCAAACGAACTATTCAAGATCAGTTCAGTGCAAGCTCCCGATCCAACAAACCATACGAGTCAGTTGCTCAGGCTGATAACTACTGTCAAGGCAGTTCAAGTTCACACTCAAATGAACTTGTTCTATCTTGTGAATCATGTACAGGTGCACACTTGACAGCCCAGTGCCCTTACTATGAAAGCCCGATCAAGGAGAAGCCTAGAGAAGCAAATCTGGCCCAGTATGCAAACAAGGGAGAAGGACCATGGGCCACGAACCAGTACCAACCAGCCCACTGGCGCGATGATCCTTCAAGAGAGCGCAACAACAATTTCCAAAGAAACAATCGTCCGAGGGACGATTTCAGACAAGGAGGCTGGAACAACAACTGGAATCAGAGAGGGCCTAGCTTCAACCAAGGGGGGAATACTCAAGCATATGTCCCTCCACACCAGAGACAAGCTGAGGATCCCACGACCGAGATGAAGAAAATGCTCGAAGAAAGAGACAAGAAAAATGAAGAAAGAATCCAGAGATTGGAGGAGTCGATGCGAGAAAGCCAGAGGGCTAACCAAGATTTGTTCCGACAACTTATGGAACAAATGACGATCCGACCTCCAGGAACTCTGCCGGCCAAAACTGAAAACAACCCACGAGAACACCTCAAGGCAGTTACCTTGCGAAGTGGGAAGAAAACTAAGGGCATTGGCCAGAATTCTGAACCAACTCTGAAGGATTCTGTGGTTGAACCAGCCAATGAGCCAACTGAGAAGAAGAAAGAAGAAGAAAAGAAAGACGAAGAACCTTTCAAGTCCCAACATCCAAACGGCGATCTCCCGCCAAAGAAGGTGACCATACCCTTTCCTTCAAGGGTAAAGAAGAGCAAAGATGAAAAAGCCTTCAAGAAGTTCTTAGACATCATGGGCCAAGTTGAAGTCAAACTGCCCTTAGTCGATGTCTTGACGGAGATTCCAAAGTACGCCAAGTTCTTGAAAGACTTGGTCACACATAAAAGGGACTGGGAGGAACTTCCAATGATCAATCTCAACGCAAGCTGTTCCGCGTTGTTACTCCAGCACATGCCTGAAAAATGCAAGGATCCAGGTAGGTTCTCTATCCCTTGTTCCATTAAAGACATGCATTTTAAACATGCCCTAGCAGACTTAGGTGCAAGCATTAATCTGATGCCCACATCGATTATGGAACAGTTAGGAATTTCTGAACTAAAACCATCTCGAACATGTGTTCAACTAGAGGATAGTTCTGTCCGTTACCCTCGGGGAATAGTTGAGGATGTGTACGTAAAGGTTGATAAATTCACATTCCCAGCTGATTTCGTAATCCTTGACATGGAAGAGGATTCAGAAATGCCTCTGATCTTAGGCCGGCCATTTTTAGCAACTGCTAAGGCCTTGATTAATGTTCATGAAGGAAAAATGACCTTGAAAGTTGGAGAAGATGAGTGTACCTTCAAATTGACAGACTTGATGAACCAATCTCCAGACCCTACTGAATTTTGTCACTCTGTGAAAATTTTAAAAGACAAAGGGTGTGTTGAGACACTTCTCGGTCTAGAGGAGATTTTGAAGGTTGATGAGATTGAACCAAGTAAGTGTGAGGATGTTCAGGAAGTAGAGGCTAAGGGATTTGATTCCCTAGAATTGAAGCCACTTACCAAACATCTTGAGTATGCATTTCTGGATGACGAGGGCAAATGCCCAGTCGTCATCGCATCTGATCTGAGTGTGGGACAAAAGGCCGATCTAATGACAGTCCTCCGACAACACAAGCAAGCTTTTGCTTGGAAGTTGGAGGATATTCAAGGAATCAGCCCGGCCTTTTCCACCCACAAAATTGCAATTGAAGAAGGGTGTAAGCCCGTTGTTCAAGCACAACGGAGGCTTAACCCGAAGTTAATGGAGGTTGTCAAGAAGGAGGTCCTCCGATTGTTAGATGCAGGTATCATCTACCCTATTTCTGACAGTCGGTGGGTTATTCATGTTGTCCCAAAGAAGGGAGGAATGACAGTTGTTCAAAATGAGAAGGGTGAACTTGTGCCCAGTCGCATAGTCACCGGGTGGAGAATGGTAATTGACTATTGCATACTGAATGATGCCACCCAGAAAGACCATTTTCCCCTTCCATTTATTGACCAGTTAATTGAGAGACTGGCGGGGCATGCTTATTACTGTTTCCTCGATGGAATGAGCGGTTACTTCCAAATTCATGTTAACCTCGAGGATCAGGAAAAGACCACATTTACATGTCCATTTGGAACGTTCGCCTTCCGGCGAATGTCCTTTGGTTTATGTAATGCCCCTGCCACCTTCATGAGATGTATGATCGCAATCTTTGAGAAATTTATTGGTGATTTCATGGAGGTCTTTATGGATGATTTCTCTATCATTTGGGAATCATTTGAAGAGTGTCTCAAGAACCTCGAAAAGGTGTTAAAGCGGTGCGAGGAGACCCACCTGGCCTTAAGTTGGGAGAAATGCCATTTTTTGCTCAAGGAAGGGATCGTACTAGGGCATAAGGTCTCTAGCAAAGGTGTCGAAGTCGACAAGGCAAAAATTGAAACGATAGAGAAACTTCCCCCACCAACTTCCGTTAGAGCCATCCGTAGCTTTCTTGGCCACGCTGGTTTCTATCGAAGGTTTATAAAGGATTTCTCTAAAATAGCTAAGCCTTTGACCCGTCTGCAAGAAAACGGAGCAGAATTTGACTTTGATGACGAATGCCTAAAGGCCTTTAACACTCTAAAGGAAAAATTGACCACCGCACTTGTCCTTGTGGCTCCTGACTGGACCAAAGCATTTGAGCTTATGTGTGACGCTAGTGATCAAGTGATAGGGGCCATTCTTGGCCAACGGGAGGGTAAAAACTTCCATCCTATTTACTATGCTAGTAGAACCTTGTCAGGGCCACAACTGAATTACACCACCACCGAGAAAGAATTCCTCGCCATAGTATATGCTCTGGAAAAGTTTAGGCCTTACCCCATTCTGTCGGAAGTTACTGTCTACACCGATCATTCGGCGTTAAGATATCTACTTCAGAAGAATGACGCGAAGCCTAGGCTGTTACGCTGGGTATTATTTTTGCAGGAGTTTAAAGTTCAGGTCAAGGACCGAAGTGGGTCCGCAAATCAGGCTGCCGACCACCTGTCTCGTCTAGAACCAGACGTGGCCGGTCAATTTGGAGAATGCACAGTCGATGAGGTTTTTCCGTTTGAGAGAATACTCAGAGCTGATGAGAAGTCACCATGGTATGCCGATATAGCTAACTTTTTAGCTGGTAATATCGAACCTACCATGGTCTCTTCTCATATGAAACAGAAGCTCAAACGGGAAGCCAATCACTACTTCTGGGAGGACCCCTACCTGTTCCGGATTTGCGCTGACAGGGTGGTAAGAAGGTGTGTGAATGAAGAAGAAGGGGAAGAGATACTGAAACATTGTCATGCTAGGCCAGTTGGTGGCCACTTTTCAGGAACAAGAACCGCACGGAAGGTGCTGGACAGTGGGTTCTTTTGGCCCACCATTTTTCGAGACGCCCATACATTTGTGACCAGGGGTGAGGAATGCCAAAGGACGGGAAACATCACCCGTCGTGATGAGATGCCACAACATTATATACTTCCGTGTGAGGTATTTGATGTTTGGGGTATTGACATTGTTGGACCATTCCCGAGCTCATACGGAAATAAATATATCCTGGTGGCAGTCGAATACGTCTCGAAGTGGGCCGAAGCCCAAGCTTGTCAGAGGGATGATGCACGCACGGTGGTGCATTTCTTGAAGAAATTGTTTGCGAGGTTCGGAGTACCTCGAGTATTGATTAGTGACAGAGGGACCCATTTCCGAAATGATCCCCTGGCTAGAACCTTGCAGAGATACGGAGTCCAACACAGAGGGGGTGTTGCTTATCATCCCCAGACTCAAGGCCAAGTGGAGAACACGAACAGAGATTTGAAGGCGATCCTGGAAAAGACCGTTGCTAAGACTCGGAAGGACTGGAGTTTGAAGCTTGATGATGCCTTATGGGCCTTCCGAACTGCTTATAAAACTATCATCGGAACTACTCCTTTCCATCTCGTTTACGGGAAATCTTGTCACCTGCCCGTAGAGATTGAACACAAAGCACTCTGGGCACTCAGAAATGTGTGTCTGGATTCATCAGCCGCAGGAAGGGAGAGATTCTACCAGCTGGACGAATTAGATGCGTGGAGAACATTGGCTTTCCACAACAATCTGATATACAAGGAGCGCGTCAAGAAATACCACGATGCGCACATTAAACAGTCCAAAGAATTCCACGAAGGGGACCAAGTACTTCTGTATAATTCCCGGTTGAGGTTGTTTCCCGAGAAACTGAAGTCTCGATGGTCTGGACCGTTTGAAGTGGTGAAGGTCTATCCGTATGGAACGGTAGAAATTCGAGGGAAAAATGGTGAATTCAAAGTCAATGGTCACCGCCTGAAGAAATTTGAGGGAGGAGATGTGTTTCGAGAGAAAACCATGATGTACCTCAAAATCTTGGAGGACTGAAGAAGGAGAATTGTGTCCAGCTAAATGACGTTAAAGAAGCGCTGAACGGGAGGCAACCCTTCAAAAAAAATAGAGAGAGAGAATGACTTTTTGTGTGATAAAAATAATATCTATACCGTGTACAGAATGACTGTCTAAGCTGGAATGGTACTTAAGTGGACACAACGGGTGACGCCTTCGGGAGCTGAACTTGTCCCACCATTCCTACTGGGTCATCCTGTAGAAAGGATTATTCGGGTGAGCCTAAGAGCACCTAATTGGCAGCATTCTGCCCGATCCCGAATATTCTGAATCGGTCCGGTTACCATTTTTAACACACTTATTTTGTGAGATAAGAGAGAAAAGAACATAGAACACAAAAAAAAGTACTTGTCGCACCAAATTTTGGGGGCAAGTTTAACATGTTTGTTCGATTCTGTGCAGATGGCTGATTTCCCTCCTAATGGACTAGACTTACCTTTTGCTACCCCCGAGGCGCGCGATCGATATCGGGATTGGGGTAGCAAGAAGGTATTGACGCTGCCGATGATATTGGACCATACAGCACTGGAGAGCATGGGGTATTGGGAGGAGGTTGACGACTTCCTCCATGACCCTGAATGGAGGCGCTTGCTTTCACTCCGTGCACAAGCTAGCGTGCCACTGACGATGGAGTTCATCTGCTCGCTGAGGTTCAGCATTTATGGGAGCAGAGTTCGAGATGTGGAGGGAGTGCATGCCTCAGTACGGATGACGTTCACTCTTCTTGGGACGAGATTTGATATCCCTGTTCTTGATCTAGGACGACTGCTGGGGATCTATACTCATGAGGAGACGAGCTCACCAGACTTTCTCGCCCTGCCACGTCGACTTCCGTTGGATGTTGACGTCAAGGCATTTTGGAGGACTCATTCACATAGCACTAGAGACTTCAGCAACAAGTACAGCTCATCATCCGATTGGAGGAGTCCCGCGTGGAGGATACTTAGTCACCTCCTCTGCTGCAGCTACTTTGGGCGTCATAAGAACGCCAACAGAGTTTATGACACTGATCTGATCTTCTTTTGGAGCCTGGAGAGCCACACACCTGTGGACCTTTCCTCTTTTGTTGGGCATTTCCTGTTTGATCAGTCGACAGGAAACCGCCATCACATTCAGGCAGGACCTATTATCACTCTGTTGGCGCGCGCCCTCGTGCCTACCATCGTCATCCCAGACCTTCTCCCAAAGGAGTCTAGTGTACGGCCTATCACTTCTGAGTCTCTCATCCACATGGGATTCAGAAAGAGGCCACGTGACACTAGATACGAGCCAGATCAGGGCACGGGCACGGGCAGTCCTTCATACATGCCGGCGAGCATGCCCGCCGATGGAGCCTCTTCCTCTGCTGTTCCACGTCCATTTCTTACTACATTTGAGGAGCTGACCACTGCTTTTGGTGATCTCCGATCATCGATTGATTCACGCTTCCAGCTTTATGAGCAGCGGTGGACCGCCTTTGAGACTAGCCAGGATCATTAGCAGCGCATTGAGACTAGCCTTGCAGAGCAGGGGACGCAAATTGCCCATATCTTGGACTACGTGGAGGCACATCAAGGAGTCCCTAGCACCACTCGCCAGAGAGGGCGTGGTCGCGAGCAAGGAGGAGGACGTGGGCAGTGAGGTATTCCCCTGCGCTAATATGTTTCTTCTGTTTTGTTTGTTTGACTCACGAATGGTTGGAACTTCAGTTTGTTTTGAACACACCTTTGGTAAACCTTTTTTTATTTTTAATTACTTTTATTTACATCATCATATTGTTTATCTTTAAGTGTGAGGACAACTTAGTATTTGCATGCAAGTTCTTCAACCATAACTCTAATTTCTAATCACTTTAAAACCCGCGAGGGCGCGGTTCAATTTAAGTGTGAGGATGAGAGAGTTATGGTTGAATCACTTTTTAGGAATATAATTTATCTCTATATTTGTAGGAAAATTATATAGACAGTCATCGATTTTAATTTACAAAAAGGAATTCTTTTACCCTAAAATAAGGAAACTTAATTTTTTTTGTCAAGCTTAAATTTTTGTGCAAATTTTTGAAACTTTTTGGTACAAATTGGCAAATTTTGGTCTAACAATTGTTTTAAAATCATGCTCTCTAATTTTTTAGTAAATATTTATTCTGTACAAAAATATTTCGTAAGGTCAAATAATTTTTAATTGTTTCATTAGAAATCTCTTAAGATACTGCTCTGCTATTTTTCAAAATATGAGCACTTATTGTTTCTTTAAAAGTTCTTTCTCAAATAAAACATTTTTTCAAACACACTTTGGTGAGAACGAGTTATTGAGTGAGTTTAGGTTCAAAAAGCATTTAGTTCTATATCAGATGATGAGACTTATATTGAAGTGAGTGCCAAAAAGCATGCGGTTCCATGTCGTGTGATGAGGTTTTTGAGTGAATAAAAATCCAAAAAGCTCGTGGTTCTATGTCATGAGATGGGGATCAAAGTTTGTGCTCGTGTCAACATGACAAGGTGATGCTAAAAAAAAAGAAAGTTACATTTTCAAGAAACAATTTTCTAATTCAATCATTAAAGATTCTTTGACCTTGTAAAATATTCAAGTAACTAAATAAATTGTTATTTAAAATTTAGAGAACATGATTTTGATAACACCAATATTCCTAAATTTTGATCATGCAAACCAAATTTGATTAAATCCTTTATATATTATATTTGGGAGTTTAACTCCTAGAATTTTGACATTTGTCATGCTGACGTGGATTTTTTTTTACACTTCATAAGCTATGTCATCATATTGGACTTACTCAATATTTCAAACGGGTTGGATAATGATTCATTACTTTGGGCTTCTTTTATTTGGGCTACTCTGTGTGGAATTCATCCGCAAGTCTGAATGAAGCGAGACATTAGCGGCACTTTCCTTTGATTGCACCTCCCTGCGATATTCATCTTCGAATGCTGCGAGATTTCAGAGAATATGTAATTGGAATTAATCTCTTTCCTTCTTCACGGTCCCTCTTCACGGAGATTCCAACGATCGGTACCAAGAATAGGTAACTTTTCCTTTTCTTAAAAAATCATAATTGTTTTTGGGATGATTGGACTTCTTCCCTTCTTATGATGATTAGTCTCTGCGAAATTTTTTCTTCTTTCGAATTTTCCGGTTCAAATCTCTGGATTTTCTACCCTTATTGCTGTAAGTTTCCTTCTTGTGATTTATATTAGGTCATATATAAATCAAATTTTAAGTAAGCCATTTCATCAATCTATTTTTTCATTGTAAGCTGCGTTCGTACCTAAAACCTCTGATTAATTGACATGTCTTCAAAACCGATCCACCCTTTGTTGAAGATTAATCCATCAAGTGAATGCTGGAGAGTTTTGGTTCGTGTGATTCAACTGTACAAGATGCCAGTGTATAATGATGAGAAGATGACGAATTCGATTGAGATGATATTCATGGACGAACATGTAAGAATTGTACTCTTATTCGTATTTTGCATACAATATAAAATTTATGTTTAATAGGATTTCTTATAATTTTTTAGAGGCTGGAAGGTTATTTTGCTTTTACTTTCAAAACACAATTATACTAATCTGTATAAAAAACCAAAATTCTTCAATTGCCCATATTGAATAAATAAATGAAGAATGATAAGTCTGTTGTTCTTAAAGTATAATGAGTCTGCTTTCCTTGAAGCTTCTATTTTCAACACCATAAAAAATAATTTTTTTTATTAAAGTACTGAAGAGTTGACCCTGTCCTTATTTTCAGATTTATAGTCTGTTGTTTTTGAACATATTTTATGGTGTGGAGTTTAGTTTTTAATCTCTTGAAGTTTCTCCAGATTCAAAGTATTGAAAAAACAAAACACACTATAGTCTGTTCTGATTCTAAGTATTAAAAAACAAAACACACTGTTTAGTTTTTTTAGTGCCTATTCATGTTGACGTTTCTCCAGTGCCTAAAACCATGAGACTAAAATTTTTTTAATAGTGCCTATGAAGAAATTCTTATAATTTATGTAATAATAACTCTGCCGTTCTTAAAGTGTAATAAGTCTGTTATCCTTGAATCCTCTATTTTCAGCACCATAAAAACATATTTTTTTATTAAAGTATTGACGACTTGAGTCTGTCCTTATTTTTCAGACCTTAATTTCAGATTTATAGCCTCCTGTTTTTGTTAACATATTTTATGGTGTGGAGTTTAATTTTTATAGTCTCTTGAAGTTTCTCCAGTCCTTAAGTATTGAAAAAACAAATCACACCATAGTCTGTTTACTTTTTATAACTAATACCTGAAAGAGCAAACTCCACAAACTTACTATTTATGATTTAAATTCTCAATTTAAAATTATTTTAAACCATTTAAATTTTTTTATCAAAGTTCACAAATAGTAAATTTGTGATTTTTGTAATGATTGTGTTTGTGAACCAAGCATTTCCCTACCTGAAATGATAAGAAATATAAATACAAATAATCATCCAAATCAATATCAACACACAGAATAAGAATTCAAGAGTCATTGATGTGTAGATTGACGGTCTGCTCTGTGATTTTAAGGCCAACAAATCTCCTATGGATTGTGTAATGGTACAAGATTAATTGTTGACGAGATGCGAAAGAATGTTATTGGTGCTATTGTGGTTTTGAGAAACCGAGTGGGCAAAAAAGTTTACATACCCCGGATGAATTTGGTACCGTCTGATCCAGGACTACCTCTAAAGTTCCAGAGAAGATAATTTGCAATAGTCTTATGTTTTGCTATGACTATTAACAAAAGTCAAGGTCAAACATTGTCATTTGTTGGCTTATTTTTAACCAAGTCAGTGTTCACTCATGATCAGCTTTATGTTGCTGTTTCGCAAGTGAAGACAAAGACAGAATTAAAAATATTAGTCTTAGATGACAATGGAAATCCTTGCAGCCATACAAAAAATGTTGTATACCCTGAAATCTTTCAAAAAATTTGGTATTAAAGCAAACTTTGTTGTGTGTAGATTCAATTCCTCAAATATTATTCTTTTTACTTTGCCTTTCTTTTCTGTGTTATTATAAATCATGCATGAGGTATATTTTCTTTATTCTGGAAAAAAATATTGCATTGAATAAATTCAGAATCGACAAGATATTCGTCCGAACCCGTGCATTGCACGGGTAGGAATGCTAGTTTGTATAAAAATATGAGTTTGACAACAGATTTATTTCCTAACAATATGGGTTAAACTTTTTTTTTAGAAAATTAAGTTGATGACTTTCCAATATCTTGTTCCTACAAATAGATTGTGTAAAACTTTTTCGTGAATGTGTTATGTAACGCCCCAAAATATACCCTAGAATTATTAATAAATAAATAATCAATTAATCAAATTTATTTTGATTAAAATAAATTGTTGTTGGACTTTGGGCCGAAATAAAATGTGTTTTGATATCCAATATCATAAGCAGGGTAAATCTCATAGAGATAAACCCAATTTGTTTACTATTTGTGTGGTCTTGATTGGGAACCTGAGTACAGACCCAAATCAAGAATAGATGAAGAAAGTATTTATGACGTAAACTTTGAAATGATTTATTGAAATAAATCATTAGAACAAATGAGAATAAATTAAATATGAGAACCTTTTATGATAAAGGTCAATTAAACTAATTTTGACTCTGTTGAAGTCAAACACCCAAAAATATGATGTCGGAGAAAGTATAACGAATAAATATAAAAATTATATCTCGTTGGATAGAGTTTAATTGTCTGATCACAACGGTGCAAACGGAATTCAATTCGGAGAAAGTTGGACCAAAAAGTGTACCCCGACTGGGACCAAAATTAGTCCCAATCAGTGAACGGCGTGTGAAATCCTACAAATCCGCCGTCCTGCGCACTAAATCGATCACCAACGAAGAAATGGAATCCTGAGTCACACCCATGTCTTCTTCTTCACTTCTTCTCCTATAAAAGGAACCCAATCTCATCCATTTCTTCATCAAATTCCTTCAAATAAACTCTGAGATGAAGCTGTGAGTGTAGAGAACAAAGTGGGGCTGTCAATTTGGGGTGAAGTCGCCGGAGCTAGCCACAAACCTCGCCGGAAGTCTCGCCGGAAAATTCTCAAAACCTTCGATAAGCTTCGAGGTAAGCCCGT